CGAGGAATTTTTCTCCACGTTGGCGTGTTATCGTGAAATTATCGTTTTGTTCTGATTTATTAATTTTTTTAAACAATTTGTAGGTTTGTATGTTCCTTTCCGTATGTATGTGAATGTATGTCATTTAGGTTTCGTTTTGTTCCTGTGTATGGTGAGGGGAAGGATGGGTATGAATCTTTCCAAAAGATTTGTTTCATTTAATCACAATTTGTTTATTTAATTTAGAAAGGACGAATTTTGGGATTACGTTTAATTTCAAGAAAGCATGTGTGCGCGTTTTTTTAATTATTATTTTGGTAGTCTTATTTGGGTTACAGCCGTTAATGCGTGAAACGGTTTTTATCGTTTTTAGTTCGTTGTCTAATTTCTAGCTACCCAGTTGTACACTTTTTAGTCTGTGTCTCTTCTATTTTAATGATGCCATGTGCGGGTGGGGATGATTTGAGTCGACTTGTACGATGTCAGTTGCCGTTGGTTTTCTGTATATAGTGTTATCATTTTTTGTAATTGTTAGGTCAATGAAATTTCTGCTGTTATTGTTTTCTAAGAAAATTGTTCGTTTGTTTTTCGCCTTTATTGAAGTAATGCACATTACAGTTGTGATCGTATACTAAACATACAATGTGTGGAACAGTTAGTGAAGACAAACACACAGCGGCTTTTCTCACTTAATCAGATTATTAATAAATTTGGTAACAGTAGCTTGCAATAATTAATTGTTTAACAATAATAGATACGAGTTTAGAATGGTATAAGGTTGGAGGATCTCTTCCTTTTCTAGCGCCTTAGTGACCTGGGAGTGGGATGGCTCTGGGCAATTTGTCGCATCAGTTGATTGGGGTGCGCTACGATGATCCTGTGGTGTCAACTGAAGGTGTCCTGATCACCATGTTAACGTAAGGGATGTCCAAGTTGTTGAGGATAGTCTGGTTCCGAAGTATCTCGGGGCATTTTTTTATTAACCGGAGGATACGATTCTGAATGGTTTGCACCTTTTTAATCTGTGAATCAGATGCCGATGCCATATGACGCATCCGTATTGTCAGACAGGCCTTATGATCATTAAGTAAATGAGTGACTTCGTTGGGTTCACTTTTACTTCACAACTTCTACACCAATTGCTGAAGCTGTTCGTGAAGTCCTGTAGCGCGGAATGGGCTTCTTCACTGGTATCTTGTTTTGAAAATACGGCAACGTCATGAGGAAAGCGGGCTGTTTTTAAAAGCGCATTTGTTGAGAAATCGCTTGAAAAGAGAAAGTAGAGAAAAAGCCCGAGTACTCTACTTAGAGGTACTCCTGATTTAATTCCGAAAGACGGCGAATGGGCTTGTCCATATCTTCGATTCGTAAGGAAAGACTTGCGGTACAGGGAGTCATCGAGGTAAGGTTTTAGATTTATTAATAGACCTGAGTGCCACACTTTGCCACTTGTCATATGTGAGATATTGTGTTTCGCTAGTTTTCTGTAACCCTTTTGTACTGATATTTTTATTGCTATTATTGCTTATAACTATATTTTGTATCTGTTGCCTTCTTTCTTGCGGAAAGGTAAATTTTTAACAACTTTTTTAAAGGAGTGTGTAAGCTTTTTATTGTATTTGATCCATATCAAAGGTTAATATTGATATAATAAAACAGTTAAAGGTAATTAAAATGGAAATTATACAATTTTTGTACATTGGAGTTTTGAGTATTCTCCATATTAAAAATTCATTGTTTATAATTTTTTGGTGCATTCTACGCTTATGTGTGATTAGTTATCGTTCTTTCTTAAAATATATTTCTTGTACACTGTCTTCATTCTGGGAATTCCATTTAAAAAAATTGCAAATTTATTTCAGTGTCCTTTTCATGAGGGCTTAGACCTTTTATTCTATTTGTTCTGTACCTGAGGAGGAGTTAACACAAAAAAATTACCGTTTTTTATTTTTCTACGTATGGAAGATATATTTTAAATTCGTTTTCCGTTTTACCTTTCATGGATTTTATCATTTTAATTTTATCATTTACCGGTTGCTTCTTCAGAAATCCGAAGTATGACTTCATCAAAAAGTCGCAATAAAAAAAATTGATTTACTGTCCATTTAACAAAGGACTAATAAAACAAGGAGGGCGTGCCTACCAGAAAAAAATACTTCTCGCACTTTTGTGGAATTTTAAATTTGTTATCCAGTGTGAATTTATCCCGGAAATGATACGAAGACGTGTGATAGTCAGATTAGTGAGTTCGTACATTTTTTTGAAACAGTCGTCGTGTTTTTTGCTTTTTATTGTTTGTTTTCGTATTTCTCGTTGGTATTTTTTATAGTCTATCCATCATGTACTTTAGTGCTGCCATTTCGTTCGTTGAGGGTGGTCTCAGTCAACTCGAATGATGTTGTTTTTCATACTTTTTGTCGGAAAAATAACTCAATGTGTGGTGTTTACACGACACACAGTAATGACACATCTACACCGAAATCAAACACTTTGAGTCCTGACGATGATCACAATAAAGATCGAAACGTTGGCACGACAGAAAAATGTTTTTGTATACTTACGTCACACCAGACCGTACCTCACGATCTCCAAAAATCATTATTTATTTATTTTGCTTGTAAGGTTTTAAGGTTTATAAACTGCAAGCGTTGCATGGGAGAGAAACAAGTATGTAATAATTATTGTTGAAAAAAAAAGAGATAAGTTGATATCTGATGCAACTGCGCAGCTCTGTGGAAACAAACATGGTTAATCTGAAAACGGCATGGGAAAAAATTGATAAATCCAACAGCGTACATGTAAATCTTTACCAGAGGGAGCCGTCTATTTGGTTAGGCGGGCGGGGGATGTCTGTTGTGGCAATGTGTCAAAAACTCGCATGTCGCTCACATCCACGGGCTCGCACACGCGCTTCTGCTCCTACTGTATCATTAATCTCTTCCCTTCACCAGCATCAAAGCATCACGTGTTAGGCCCTTGAGGGAGGAATTTGGGAAATTGGTTTATATAAACAAAGTTCAGCACCCTGTCTTTGTAGGGGGGCTTCATTAATTTTGAGAATAACTAAGGAATACCCTGAGAACATTGATTAGCCAGATTCGTCACAACTTTCCGAATCTCGTTTCTTGTATTTCGATATTTATATCCCAAACCCTAGATCTAGAATTTACAAAGTTTCAGCATCCAAAAATCAAAAATACTCTTCCTTTTTTTTTGCATTTGATTGATATTAAGTCAAACCCCGAAAGGAAGGAAGAAAAACGTCGCCAGTACTAGGTTGTTTTCGAAACCGGAGAGGTTTTTGTTACTTCCCGCTATTACAGAGACTCCAATTTCCCAACCCTTCTTGTATTTCCCCTTTCCTTAAGCTGTCATTTCTTCCTTGGCTCTTTTTGCGTTCGGTCTTCCTTTAATTTCCTTCTTCAGGGCATTTCTCCGCTGCCCCTTTCTTATATGGACTATTTGTATTAAAACGTCAGAAACTTTGAAAGTCTTGATCCTATTAAGCCTTTTGGCTGTTACTTTCACCAACAAGCAAGTAAGGATCTTGATATAATCAATTTCCTCTTTTGATAATATTTCCATTCCGAAAAGGTTAATAACCCTAATTGATAATGTTCTGCTTTAAAAAAAAAGACGAGACATACATACCAAAACAAAATAATTTACATGATAGAGATAAAAGGCAGATAGATAAATAAACAGTGGAGGAGAGAGTGAAATAAATGGATAGTCAGGCACAGGCAAGCAGTCAGATAGATTCGGCTAGATGATGAGGGTCTTAGAAGACGGTGTTAGAGTGTGGGTGGGAGGGAGAGATAGAGATAGATATGCTGTTCACTAAAAAAAAGCCATACGTATATAGTATAGTAGTGGTAAAATTACAGAGAATGAGAAGAGAATGAAAGAAAGAGAGCGAGTTGGAAGGAAGAGAGAATGAATAAATGAAGATTAGCTTATACCACCAACAATTTATTGACGTTGACCAATCTTACATCCAAGAGGGAGAAAAAGAGAGAGAGATACATAGATACAAAGAGGTACATAGATAGAGATGAGAGAGAGAGAGAGAGAGGGAGTGACAGAATTGAGAACATTTTATTTATAAATATTACTGATGTTGTACTATGATTGAACATAATCTAATGAGGGAAAAGATTTTAGATGTTTCTGATAAATATATTTAGGTTTACATGATTTTTAACGTGGTTAAATTATTGTAAATTTTATAGGTTACGACACAACCTCATTTTAGGTGCAGTTTGTAAAAGTAGGTGTTTTTTTAACTTTACTTACTTTTTACTTTTTTTTTATACGTTAAAATGAGAAACAATATCAAATAGGTATCATAGTTTTTGTATTGTTATTATGTCATGGAAAATAGTTAAAATTTTGTATTTTAACAAATCATAAATTTTTAAAATGGGTAAGTTTTAGTAATCATTGTTTCCTGCTTTTTTTTTAATGTTTGTGTTTTATGTTATGTTCATACAACAATTAGATTACAGATATAGCGAATACACGCATGTTTAGTAACATGTAACTTATGAAAAATTTTACTAGTTTATTTTTACTACTAACTTGACCTCTCTTAAACCAAGGAGAGGGAAAGTGAAAGGAGAGATTAACTTGCAAATATTGTTATTTCATGGGGACGAATCTTCTTCGTAAAACGCTAGTTTTGATGTTTAATTTGGCTTTCATATGACCGTATATTGTCCTCATTTACTCTCCGACTCCAACTCTTTAGCCATTAATATACCATTTTTGTATCAACACTGACGAGAAAGAAAAATAGAAAAAATGCCGTTATGCACCACACGTGGTTCCCGTTGGTACGCGTGGGCTAGCGGCTAAATACTACAACTGTTAAATGCAGTCCTTTGTTTGTTCTCAAACACCAGTTACCAACACGTAACTTCCATGAAAATGCCCTCCGTTTCAATTAATATAAAGTACCTATGGGTTGCCATTATCGACAAATTTCCAAATTAATTTTTCCCCTCGATTTCTGATTTCAGGTGATGGGAAAAGAGGTGTGATGACAAAGCAGGCAGCGGCGACTCCTCCATCGGACGGGTAAGTAATTGCAATTGTAAAGAAAGGCGGAAGCTTTTATGGTGAAATTGGATTTTGTGTGTCGGTCTTCGGAATCCCAAGTGGCCGGAATTGATCGACTGGGAAAGCGATGATTCTACCCCGCTGTGATCTATTTCACACCCTCACCCCTGTTTTTCGCCAATCTTGGTAAACAGAAAACCCCCTCGGGAATTCTTACGTGTTAGGAGCGCTATTATAACACTCTTTCCTGTGATCAGGTGCTTAACCGACGTCTCAATTTACCAAACGTTAATGTTGTGATCGGTTTAAATTTCATCGCCATTTATATCCACAGATGATGAGTTTAGCGAATTTTACGACGAAACGTTTCGAAAAGCTTCTAACTCAATCAAGAGCCTTAAGTTCACAAGGGTTTAAGTAAACGGGAACTTCCTGAGTTCTCTGTTTGCTCTTCAGTTGGAATAGAATGTTTGCGGAATTCTAAACTTAAAGTGTTCATAAACAACAACTCCTTCGAAAATGCATGCAATCATGTTTCAAAATATTCCTCACCTCGCCAATCACATTTCTCTAAAACCAAAAAAAAAAAACCGAACGAATTAAACTATTTTTAGTCGTATGACAAAGCTTTTATACTTTCTTTTTGTCATATGGGATAAAATGGCAACAGCCCGTCACCGGGGTGGCGTTAAATTGCTTCAGTGCTAATTGTCGGAAAATTCAAGCACAGTCTTTTGTCAATGAAGCGCCTGCCTCACAGACTCATTAGAGGCGGGGCTCTAACGTGAAAGAGCCGCTTGATTAATTAATGTCTTCTAATCCTATTTAAATTGAAAATAAACACATATATTATTCCTAAACCGCCGTGGAATGCCATTGTCTTGAAAGGTATGTATTTTCACAAATACTTACAGCAGCCCCCAGCGATCAGCAGTAATGGAAAATAAATTAGATATTTCACTTTCCAGCTGGTCCACTTAATGAAGTGATAACTAAAATGATATTTCGAAGGGAAATAGTTCAAGATATTAACCAAAATTCCTTTAAGGTAGGTATAACACAAAGTTTAAATCGTAGCGACGAAAGGATCAATAAGAAAAAAGTCATTAATAGGAAATAGAACTATAAATCATAGAAGGCATTTAATGATTAACCAAGAATATATTATAACAATCAAAAACCTCATTTAACAATTTACACAACTACATTTTAACAATTAATTACAAAAGTGGGTTTTAATATGAACATTTATTTGCCAAACAAATGCGTCTTTTTTTCAATGAATTATCACATTTAATTCAAGATTAATGTGATATTATTGTGGATTTGTACTTACAGTTTCTTTGGAAGTTTTCTAAGTAACTTGAATTTAATTAGCTGCAATGGCCAACAAATGCAAAGTTTTCACTCAATAAATTAAGTAATAATTTCAGTAGTTGTCATTAATCATTAGAAAACCTGGTAAAATGATAAAATTAAAGCTAAGTTAAAAATAAAATATTATAACAAGAGACGAACAAAAACGCACAGTATACTCTTAAAATGTTATCATTTAAAAAAATATTGTATTAGACGCTTTATTATTAATTGATAACTCAGCAACAATGAATCAACCTAAAAAAATACATACAATAATTTCGAATTATTGTTTCACATTTAGCTGAAATTAGATTTTCTCCTTCCAGTCGGTCGAAAACATAAATGTAATAATAGCATTTTAAAATATATTTTTGTTTTGCAATTGGTTATTATAATATCGTATATATAAAAGATTACAGCAACGGCGTAAAAATTAGAAAGAGATATAAAACAACTATTAATCGTACTGATTTTAGTTCATATAATCATGAGCTATGTGATTTATCCTAATTGACTGTCATGATTTCCTTCGAAGGTTATCGATTGAACGGAAGAGTAATAAGATATATCCGCTTAATTTATTGTTCTCATTAAATCAACTATGGCTATAACTTATTACTGTATTTACTTCTATTTAATCGAAAGTATAAATCAAGAGGTTTATTTTCATTATTTTTACATTTATAAAATGAAAATCTCTTTAATCTCCTTACTGAAAGGACAACAATTTTGTTAACTCCTCTCAAGACATTTGTAAATCTCCCTGTCATTTGTAAATTGAAATCATTACATTTTGTAAATAAAGTTATAGATTCCGGTAAATATATTAAATTTTAAAAATCTCTTAATTGAAATCGCAAAAGTAAATGTTAAGTTAACTGCGAATGTATAATTTTTGGTCTTATACATGGTTCATTAGCATGTATAAATATAATTACAGTAATGTTTTTTTGATGATGTCATATAATCATTGTTATCATACTCCTAAATCTATGAACGACATTAATCACTCCTAAGTGGCTGACTTGAATTTTTAGCCATGCCGTCTCCGATGTCGCCGTGTCCTTATCTCCACCTCCTAAAGTAATTGGTTTAGCTTGTTTATCACCTGGTATTCTGATCAGAAGTTCCAAACCCGCTGATTTGATGATCCATTCTACTGTTATCACGCCGAATTGAAGGGAGCGTTGATTCGATAGGCGTGATCCTGGCTATTTTAGACTGTTATTTTAAAAAGGAAAAAATAACACCTCCTCGACTTCTTTTCACCTCGTCGTGTTCATTTCAATCTTGAAATGGAATACGAATTTCAACAAAATCGCTCCCCTTGTAGAATATTCGGGAAGGGATAGGAATGTCCGGTGATATGATACAATAACCGAGCTATCCTCTCACTTACAACCACTCATTATCAGAAAATGAAACTTGACTTGTTCCTGAGGGATAATTAACTTTCCAGAAGTAAAGATTACCTCATTTTCTTCTTTATCATAAGAAAGGTCTATTAAGACCAACATGTTTTAAACCATTTGTATTTTTGTTCTTTAAATAAAATTATATAAAATACTGTATGTGATAAAGAAAAAAATTGTAAGAATGATATCCACTTGATAAAAAATTAATTAACAATTTATATAGACAACATTACCTAGAACTTGTACGTTTTCTTGATAATTGTTCACCACAGAACATTAGAATATTGTTAAAATTTGGAAGAGGCTGAATACAACGAAATAAACACAAATAGCATTTCCTATGATTTGTATAATGTGCTTTTTATAAAACCTTTTGAACGATTTATAAATAATATATCAATATGACAATAACTTATTTTCCATATATATATATACATTTCCTATGATTTGTATAATCTGCTTTTTATATTTATATTTANAATAAATATAAATATAAAAAGCAGATTATACAAATCATAGGAAATGTATATATATATATGGAAAATAAGTTATTGTCATATTGATATATTATTTATAAATCGTTCAAAAGGTTTTATAAAAAGCACATTATACAAATCATAGGAAATGCTATTTGTGTTTATTTCGTTGTATTCAGCCTCTTCCAAATTTTAACAATATTCTAACGTTCTGTGGTGAACAATTATATATATATATAAGAAAATGAAGCATGCCAGACAGAATGAGTAGTACTATTTTGATGTATATATTACACTGTAGAGGTGCCTTTGGATTTTTGATGCTCAGTGGACAGTAGACGGATAGATAGATTTATGCAGAGAGGCGTTAAATCGGTTGAGAAAGAGAGCGAGAGGGGAAAAAGAAAAGAGAAAGAGCATAACTTTTCAAGTTGTCGTTAAAAAATGTACAATATTTCTAAATTATCTTATAACATAAGTGGGTAGCTAATTATGAAATTCAAGTGAATGTAAAACGAGGTTTTATCAAAGATAAGTTTCTGCTTTACATCGAGGCCCACCTTCGTACGAATCATTTATGCTGTTACATTGAAAGGTGGATGAAGTCGAAAATCCAAACTTTCGGGAAATCGCAAGTTTACAAACACTCATTTTTTTCCAAAATCGAGTGGTACAAAAAAATACCACACAGATATTTTTCTGGTTTTCTCAACATTAGCCTAGCACCCTGAAGTGTTTTCGTATATTTCATTTAATACTTTTATATTCACGGTAGACACAGATTTGCACAAAAGAGTACGAAATTCTGGCTACTCTTAAAATATGGTAGTGTCCTTGCTACATCTTCGACAAGAAAGGTTTTTTTAAATAATTGAATTATAGTCTTATTGTTTAACGATATTACCGATGGTGTAGATGAAAGGAAAATGTGGTTTGGGTTAACCACTACCGGCTTGTTTGGAACGTAGGACGTAGGAGAGAGCTTAGGGCTTAGGCGGATGGATCAATGCTTCCGTGCCTCACAAGGTCGTGTTTCTTTCGAGTCCGTTACGTTCCTTGTACGTTTTCCCTTTTACTCCCAATCTATTCGCACATATTCGAGTAAAAAAACAGGCAAATTTGTGGGGGTTTTTTCCGCAGTTTATAAATAGAAAGGAGGGAAAAAATCGACTGTCTTGCGAAATTGTCATGATAAACCGCAAAATCAGTGCCGTCCCGCACGACGGAACCTCTGTGAATCATTGGATCCGCTGTCAAATTGCGTCTCTGTTCCATTCCTAAAATGCAAAGAAATCGTTATTCGCCTTTCTTTTCTAAACATCCATTGGTGCAGACAATGCGGTTATTATAGATAAGGCTGGCCATTTTGGGGGATTGACTATTAAAAGTTACGAAAGAAAAGGTGAAGAAATTTTATTTTTAGACAAATACAAACTTTTTAAATAAGTAATTTCACCTTACATTGTGAAATACTATCCAAAGTTCAATTTTTAAAATATACCAATATAAGATCGGGTCTAATCTCATTTAAAGTTAAAATGATCTTAAGTCGAAATTATGAGTTTTCATAATTCAAGTATTTGCCTTAATGATTCGTTTAAAACCAGATTGGCGGAAATAAATCGTTTATTTACCCAGAGGATTATTTCTCGAATTAATTTTTCCCGCGAAGAGCTGATTGAAAGTACACAGTTATTAAGGACTTCATTTATCGAATCGAAATGAAAGACAAATTGATTTAAACATTTTTCAGTGTCGTTTTTATGTT